ATCCCGACCTTCTTGGTGCGTTTGGCCATCTTGCCGCAAACTAGTCCCAGGCCAGAGAGGCTCACTAAGCCATTTTTAATTGGCTTACTTGTCTTTTTGTTGTTGTTGAGGTACTGACACTTGCTCTATATTTTAAACATTAATCCAGTATGTGTTTGCTAAATATTTTCCCCAAGTCTTTGAGTGCTTTTAAAACTCTTTTGATGACATTTTTGATGCATGTAAGTGTTTAATTTTTAGGATGTCCCATTTATCTAATTTCTACTTTTTGCATGTTTTTAGTTATGTGTGATAGTGTTTTTACATCAGATGGTAGGTTCCTAAGTTTGTCGTATTGTTTCCTGGATGGTCTTTATACATTTAGGTTTTACATTTAGGTGAAAGATGTTGAGGGATTTTTTGTTTTGTTTTGTTCTAATGTGGTGTGAGAAATGAGACTTGTTCTAGTCTCCTGCAAAGAGATATCCAGTTTTGCCAGTAGCATCTGTTAAAGAGGTCATCTATTTTCCATGACATGATTTCAGGTTCTTGTCAATAAGCTGTTTTTAGGTGACTGAATTTACTTCTGGGTTCTCAACTCTGTTCCATTGACATATGTGTCTGTCATTGTATCAGAACCAGCTCGTTTTGACTACCAGGGTGATGTACTAGATTTGAGATAGGCAAGTGTGAGGCCTCCTCTTTACTTTTCTCTTGTCATAGTGCTTTACTTATTGAGGTCCCTTTCCTTTCAAAATAAACTTGGTGGTTAATTTTCCCATCTCTAAAGATGATGTTGGAATCTAGATTGAAAGTGTATTATATTTGTAGATCCCTTTGGGTAGTATTAACATCTTCACAACGTCTTTCTATCCATGTGTAAGCTATGTCCTTCCCTTTATGTAGGTATCTTTTGTATTCTTGCAGTAGTATTTTGTAATTTTCTCTGTAAAAGTCTTTTGTGCCTCTGTTCAGATTTATTCCTAAGTGTTTCATCTTTTGAGTGGTAATTGAAAATAGTGTTGTGGTCATTAAATTTTCCTTTCAGTGCTCTTTTTTACAGTGTGAAGAAATCCAACTGATAGTTTTATGTTTTCTTGTATCCTACCACTTTGCTGTATTTTCCAATTAATTCCGTTACTGTTCTTGCTTAGACTGGGTCCCCTCTCCCATGGGATCATATTATCTGCAATAGAGTTTTATTTCTCCTTTTACAATTTGTGGACCTTTAGTTTCTCTTTCTTACATGATAGAACAGGCTAAGACTTGCCAGCACAATATTAAACAGAAGTGATGATAAATGGCAGCTTTGTAGGATCTCATAAGAGTCCTGGTGTTGTAGTGGTTACGTATTTGGCTGCTAACTGCAAGGTCAGCAGTTTGAAGCCCCCAGCCAGTCTGTGAGAGAAACATGGGGTTTTCTAGTCACGTAAAGAGTTGTAGGCTTAGAAACACACAGGAGCAGCTCTACTCTTTCCTATAGGGTCAGCATGAGTCAGCATCAGCTCAATGGCAGGAAGACTTTTTTTGTGGTCTTATAAAGAATTTGAGTCTTGGAAACTCACAGGGACTTTTCTACCCTGTCTTGTAAGAATGCTATGAGCCTGAATCCAATCGATGACAGAGAGCTTGATATGTTTGCATGGTCCCATTTGCAATGTGAATGCTCTCAGCCTTTCTCCGGTGAGACCGATGTTGGCTCTTTTGGGGTGTATGCCCATGAGTATGGTGAGGAAGTTCCCTTCTATTTCTATTTTGCTGCGTGTTTTTATCTGAATAGGTGTTAGATTTTGTTAAATGATTTTCTGCATTAGTTGATATAATCATGAGGTTCTTTCTTTTCCTTTGGTTTGTGGTGAATTACTTTGATATATATATATATATATATTTTA